AATCTTCCGGGAGCGGCACCTTCGTTCATCCCAGATGTCACCTCCTGCCAAGGGGCCGCTGATGACCACCCCCCAGGGACAGTCCCCAGCCTGCTCCAAGGGCCGGCGCACAGAAGGAAGGGCTGCCCCGCCCCTGTCCACCTGCAGTGATGCCGCTGAAACTAGACTTTGGACTTTGGGAACGAGCTATGCATGTCTCCTCCCACCTGCTCTGAACGTCCACTGCAGCAGCCTGTGGCCTCCGCTTACACACCGCCTGGAACGGCCAGCTCCCTCCCACCGCAGCCCTCACGGTGACCCTTGAGCCCTGGCTGCTGCTATCACGCCTATTTTACAGACAACTAGACTGAGGCTGTGAGTGGAGAATTGACCGGCCCAGGGTCAGGGGCATTGGTCAGAGGCGGAGCTCTGACCCAACTCCAGGCGAGGCAGAGCCATGAGCTGCCGACCACCGGGCATCAGACTTCCGGGGGTGCGGGTGGCACATGCCCCGAGCGGAGTCGCTGGGCGGTGCCCTCTCTCAGCTCTCATCCTCCAAGCCTCTTCCGCCTGAGCACCCTCCGAGTGACAGAGCTCAGGTGTGAGTCCAGAGCTCAAGCCTTTGCTGTCACACCCTCCTTTGCCTTTCTTGACTCTTTTTCAGCTACACCTCCGGCATGTGAGATCTTAGTTCACCTGCCAGAGCGGGAAGTCACTCCCCCTATGCTGGAACCACAGAGTCTTAACCATTGGACCATCAGGGAAGTCACTGCCTTTGTTTCAAGTTGCTCCCATAGGGGTGAGGTGTGGGGGAGGAGAGAGAGGCTCAAGAGGGAGCTGATATATGTATAATTATGGCTGATTTGTGTTGTTGTATGGCAGAGAGCAAGACAACATTGTAAAAGAGCTTTCTTCCAATTAAAAAATAAATTAAGTTGCTCTCATAGACAACTCCAGGATCAGAGGTCAGAGGTCAAGGCTGCACACTAGGCAGGCACACTCAAGACTTTTAGTCTAGATATCTTCAGCCTAGACTGGATGCTCCGAGTCACTCCAGGAACCATTCAGAAGAGCCCCAGGCTGTTCTAATCCCAAAGGGAAGTTGTCAGCAGCGGACAGAGCTAGGACCTGCTCAGACACCCTGTGGAGGGGGTGGGAGATGCCCCACCAGGGCTGCTCACTTTATGGGGGACACCCCAGGTCACACAGCAACCACCAAGCCTATGAAAGAGGCCCAGGTGGCCTGGGGGGACCCAGGCCCAGGTGGCCCAGAGGCCCAGCTGTCACCTGCAGGTCCCACTTCTCCGGGGCTAGACACCACTTCTGAGCGCTAAGGACTCTGACAGGTGCTCTGACTCTGGGCTCCTGAAGAACAGGAGCCTTGATCGTGCATCCCAGCCAGACACCAAGGGCCCAAAGCTGTAAATAAATCTGCACTGACTTATTACCAAATAATAAGTCCCCAAATCATTTCACTACCACGACAACCACAACAACAAGAAACACCAGAACACCGAGCTTCCCTGTGCCGGGCGCTCTGCAGAGGCGGCCTCCCAGGTAACACAACAGCCACACAAAGTGCGAACTCTGAGAAGCTCAGCTCGATAGAGGAGGAAGCTGAGGCCCAGAGAGGTGACACCACCTGCCTGAAGATCTGCAGCTGAGAAAGCAGCCAATTCACTGTTTGAGCTTGGGTCCGCCTAACTCCTGGCGCTGGGTTTTCTAAGACAGTTTGTTTTCAGAAGCATCAGTTCTTAAAAGTTTTACAGGCAATTGCATGTTATCATGCACATAAGACCATGTATGTGGGATGATATATGCCTTTCATGGTGTTAGAGCCTTGAGACTTTTTAGAACAATGAGTAAAGTTTTTATCAGCACTTTCCAAAGGCTTCATGTTACATTTGGAATAAAATACTAACTCCTCACAGGACCTCCTCCCCCATGAGCCATCTGCCCCTTCTGTGACCCCACCACACTTCTGTGCTTCTTTCGTAAAAACATGCAAAATGTTTTCCCATCTCAGTGCGTTTTCCCTATGCTGTTCCCAAAACCCAGCGACTCTTATCTCTGTAAGATCTTGGTTCAGGGACGTCCCTGGTGGTCCAGTGGTTAAGAATCTGCCTGCTAATGCAGGGGCTGTGGGTTCGATTCCTGGTCTGTGAACCAAGATCCCACATGCCACAGGGCAACTAACCCTGAGCACCACAACTACTTAGACCATGTGGTCTGGAGTCTGAGTGCCTCAACTAGGGAAGCCCACTCACTGTAACAAAGACCCAGTGCAGCAAAAAAAAAAAAGATCTCAGTTCAAAAGTCACCTCCTCAATGGCAGCCCAGTGGTTAGAACTCCAGGCTTTCACTAACAAGGGTGCAGGGGTTCAGTCTCTGGTTGCAAAACTAAGATTCCCACAAGCCTCACAGCACAGTTTTAAAAAAAAAAGTCACCTCAAGACCCACAGCTAAACTTTGGTGATTAAGACAGTGTGCTGTTGGCCTAAGGACAGACACACAGGCCAACAAAACAGAAGGTCCAGAAGCACACAGATGGACACTAGACTCAGGATGACAGTGGCATCACATGTGACCCCATGGGAAAAAGAGCGTCACATCAGCATGCAGTGCCAGAACTGGAAGAACTCTGACCCCTACCTCACACCATAACTCAGGATGGATCTTGTGAAGGCCTGTCAATATGATTCAGCCCAAACAATAAAGCTTCTAGAAAACAAGAAAGATCTTCATGACCCTTGGTAGGCAAAGATTCCTTTAATGGGACAGAAAAAGCACTAACCATAAAGGAAAGCAATCAATAAACTTTAAACTACATTAAAATCAAGAACTTAGGTTCACAAAAGGATTCCATTAAAAGAGTAAAAAGATAAGCACAGTGCAGAAGATGATACAAAGAAAGCGCCTTCAGGGTATATAAAAACTATCAATCAATAAGAAAAAGACAGACAACTCAATAAGAATGACAAACACTTGCAAAAAGAGCCAGTCCCAATGGCCAATAAACACATGATGAGGTACTTAACCTCATGAGTCATCAGGGAAATACAAATTAAAGCCACAATTTGAAATACCAGTATACATCCATTGAAGAGAAGAAAAAAAGACTCATACACTGGTGATGGGGATGCAAAGCTGTGCTGTCAATTTGGAAAAAAAATTCAGAAGTTTCTTACAAAGTTAAACCTGCACTTACCATATGACCCAGCACTTCTAGGAATCTACCAAAGGGAAATGGAAGCATATGTTCATTACAAAGACCTCAGAACAAATTTCATTACAGCATGATTTGTAAAAGTCCCAAAGCAGAAACAATCCAAATATCCACCAATCAGTAAACGGATAAACAATTTGAAGGACATCCATACAACAGACTGGATTTACTTAGCCATAAAAAGAAACAAACTCTGGTGCATCCAAGAGCGTGAGCAAATCTCTAGAACATACTGGGTAAAAGAAGCCAGACATAAAAACCAATGTACTGTGCAATTCTGGGCTTCCTAGGTTGCCCTAGTGGTAAAGAACCCGCCTGCCAAGGCAGGTTAGATGTAACAGACGTGGGTTCAAACCCTGAGTCAGGAAGATCCCCTGGAGGAGGGCATGGCAACCCACTCCAGTATTCCTGCCTAGAGAATCCCGTGGACAGAGCCTGGCAGGCTGCAGACCATGGAGTCCCACAGGGTCAGACACAGCTGAAGCGACTTAGCATGCACACAGACTGTGTGATTCCACTTATATGAAGTTCAAAACAGAGAAATGCAATCCACAGGGGTATGAGTCAGTGTGTGCGGGGGGAGGGGTGCTGATGTGGAAGAGGTGTGAGGGAGCCCCCCAGGGCGCTGGGCCACTGGGTATACAAACACAGAGATCCTTGTGAAGTTTCAGATGCGCTTCACACGGCTCAGCATGTGAGTATGACTCCGCAGTGAAGTTTAAAAATGAAAGGTACTTCACACAAGGGGCTTCCTTGACAACATCCCAACCCACCCCCAAATTAGGACCTCCTCCCAGAGGTCCAATTTCTTTCTTTCAGAACACAAGATAGAATTTATAATTCCAAGTTCATTGGTCATTTTACTCCTTCAATAGCCCCGCCAGAACACCAGCTTCCCCAGCAACTAGTGCTGAGCAGTTGCTCAACAAGTATTTTTTGAATGAATAATTGTTGGTCTCCTTCACCCAGACGGTGACCCCCCCAGGGCTGGGATCTGCTTTGCTCACTCTCTAGACTAAGGGCCTAGGACATAACAGAACCACAAAGAGAAGGGAATTAAAGGCCACCAGCTCCCATCAGCGTGACACATCTGGTCAAAGATGAAGTCCTGCAGATGTCCAGACGACAATGACCCGTCAGCCTCAACTGCACCACTAGGATTGTGTCACAAAAGACAAAAATAAAAATCTAAACTTCAAAGAAAGTAAGACATTCACAAAGCATGGAAGGCCTCCAAGGAATTCCACCACAGTTTTTAACTCCTTAGGAGAAATTCTCCTATTTGTCAGGGTCAACCTGGGTCAGGCTTTTCAAGGACCCTGAATCAGGCTGCCACTGGCCCACATGATGCCCATGTACGGTGTCCCTGGATATTCTACAAAATCCCTGACCAGTGCTGCTGAAAACTGTCAAGGCCGCCAGAAACAAGACAAGGCTGAAAAACCATTCATCACAGCCAAGAGGTGCCTAAGGACACATTAAGGACTACATCGAACTTGGTGTCCTGAAGCAGAAAAGGGACCTCAGGGGAAAACCAGGGAAAGCCAAGGACCCTCAGAGTCCAGTGAACAGCCATGTTCCAACGCTTCACTCCTTAATTATACAACGGATGTGACCTGCACTGTAACAGAAACACGAAGCAAAGCTGGGTGTGGCATCTAAGGGAGCTCTGTACTATCTAAAAATGGGAAATGATTCTCTGGGGGAAAATTCACCTTTTAAAAGTCCCCTGGGCACTCTGCGGCTACCTGTTGGGGAAGTGTCACCACCCAGAGCCACGCGCGTGGGGTCTTACCTTGGGCGGGTCGAAGAGCTCGAGCAGGTGGTCTGCGCCGTCGGGGCCCGCGCGCCGCAAAGCCAGCCGCCCCCGCTGCCAGCGCGCCCCGCTGTCCATGGAGGCCTCGTCGGCCAGGCTGTACCGCAGCGTCGCCTCCTTGAGGGCCTCGGGCGGCGGCTCCCGAGCCAGGCTCCAGGGCAGGAGCTTCCTGGCCAGGCCGGGCCTGGCCGGGGCCTCGCCGGCCTCCCCGTTGGTGGCGACGGGGCCCGCGGGCAGCTCGCCGGCCGAGCGGTGGCGGAAGATGTGGCGGAGGCTGTGGCGCAGGTGCTGGAGCGAGCAGGTGGCGGCCGGCCGCGGCGGGGCCAGCTCCTCGGAGCTGCGGGCCTTGGGCAGGCCGGGGGTGGGGGCGGTGGGGCCGGCGCCTGGCTCGGCTGGGGCCGCCTCGGCCTTGGCCGGGGATCCGCGGCCCGTCTCACGGTAGTCGCGCGTGGGGGCGGCGGGGGCGGCCCGGGGTGCCGGCGGCCCAGGCGCCCGGCCCTCGCGCACTTCGCGGCAGAAGTAGCGCTGGAAGAGGTCGGTGAACTGCAGCGACACGAGCTCGGCGCGCAGTGGCGCGTGGTGTGGGTGCTCGCGCGCAAAGAGCCAGTACTGCCGGGCCAGCTCCCGGGCCGCGGCCACGGCGTGCAGCTCGCAGAACTCGCTCCAGCCCCGCGGGGACGGGGCGGCCGCCGCCGAGGTGGAGGCCGAGGACGCAGACGACGAGGCCGAGGAGGACTGCAGGGTGGGCCCGTTCATGGCGGAGACCGAGGTGGAGCAGCCAGGCTGAAAGACACGGTAGGGAGCGCATGACAGAGGAGGGAGTGGACGACTGGGCAGACCACCACAACACCCACCTCCAGACATGCTGGTCATCAGGCACTACCTCAAAAAATGAATATGACCTTAACACCCAGTGCTGGCGAAGATGCAGCAAAGTGAGCACGCCCCTGCAATGTTGCCGGTACTGTGGGGAGTACAGCCTATGGGGCCGGGAGCTTGGGAGGATCATTTTCAGACCTAGTAATTCCCCTTGTAAGCATTCAAGAGAGAAAGTCTCCCACCTGAGCAGAGAGGCATGTACAAGACAACCCCCTTCCAGGTGTTTCCTGCCCCAACATTTATAATCGGGAAAAAGCACTGTGCTCAATTGCTCAGTCATGTGAGACTCTGAGACCCCATGGACTGTAACCTGCCTGTCTCCTCTGTCCATGGGATTTCCCAGGCAAGAATACTGGAATGGGTTGCCATTCCCTTCTTCAGGGGATCTTACTAACCCAGGGATCGAACCCAGGTCTCCCACATCACAGGCTGATTCTTTACCGTTTGAACCAGGGAAAAGGTAAATTCAACCTAAGGGCTTCCTAGGTGGCTCAGCGGTAAAGAATCCTTCTTCCAATGCAGCAGTTGGGAAGATCCACTGGAGAAGGAAATGGCAACCCACTCCAATATTCTTGTCTGGGAAATCCCATGGACAGAGGAGTCTGGTGTGTTACAGTCTATGGGGTAGCAAAGAGTCTCACACGACTGAGCGACTAAACAATGAATACAACCTAAACGCGTATCAGTCAGAGACTGGTGAAACAAACTGTGACACAGCTGCAGGCCGGAATGTGCTACAGCATATTCCAAAAGGAGGAAGACCTATGCTACCATCTTGGGAAGTCTCCAGGGCACAGCATTAAGGGAAAAAGCAAACCACTGAGCAATACAAACCACTCATGATCCTATTTACATGAACATACAAAGCAAAACTACCAATTCTTATGTGTACATAAATGTATTTAAGTGATGGGCAAGAAAGATGTGGCTGAAGCAAACCCATGCAGCAACAGTAGTGACCTGTGGGGAAGAGTCAGAAGTTGGGGTGCAAGAGGGGAAGTAACCAAGGAAGACTTAAGACTTGTCTCTAGAAAATCTGGTTAAGAACAAGGCACCTGGAGCCTAGATTCAAATCCCACTGCCTACTAGTCGTGACCCTGGGTTTGTGATATCTTTCTGCCTTGTTTGCCCCATCTATAAAATGGGGACCATGTTGACCTACCTCATAGAAGTGTTATGAGGATTCACTGAGTTAAATGGAAAGGCTTTGGAACCTAAGGAGAGCCTAATAAGTCTTGTAATCAATGTTACAATAAGAGTGTATTATTGGGATTCCCTGGGGGCTCAGACTGTAAAGCGTCTGCCCGCAGTGCGGGAGACCCGGGTTCGATCCCCGGGTCAGGAAGATCCCCTGGAGAAGGAAATGGCAACCCACTCCAGTACTCTTGCCTAGAAAATTCCATGGATGGAGGAGCCTGGTGGGCTACAGTCCATGGGGTTGCAAAAGAGTCGGACACGACTGAGCAACTTCATAACTGGTGTCAATAAACATAAAAAAAAATAAAAAGGAATAAATTAACAAGACTCATAAGGGGTACAAAGGTACTTCCTGCTCTCATGGGGGAATGTGGGGACAGGCAGCCCTTGCCTGTTCATCGAAACTGGGGCTCCTATACAAAGTGCAGGAGCCCCCTACCCTCTGCTGTCCACGGTGCTGAACCCTGGCCGTCTCTCGTCACCATCAGTACTGTCTTTCCTTCCAACTAAGCCAGGTTGGGCCTGGGCCCCTTCTGAGGACCACATACTCATGGATGCCTACTCACCCCACCCCGATATTACTGACGACCTACTGTGTGCCAGGCTCTGTGCTAGGCCCTAGGGATACAGGAGCGAACCAGACAGAAATTCCTGCTCTCCTGGGGCTACATTATACACAAACACACAAACGTACTGGCTGTGTGCCTCTCATCGGACCTCTCTGAACCCTAATTTCTTCATCTGTCAAATGGAGAGCAGCACAGTAGCCACCTTCTAAGACCTTGAAAGGAGTCCTTGTAAGGGGACTCAAGGTGAGGATCTGAACCTAGAAACTGGGGTTCTTTCTGCCCCACCCCATTCTACATCTCCAGGTCCAGCAGCCGACCACAGCAGCATAGCCCAGAGGCATAGAGTGGGTGCCACTGCTTCAGCTGGGAGGGTGCTGTGCACACACTTGACTTCGCACATCACAGGGCCCTCGGCAGCTGCACACAGTAGGCACTTTGTACACAGTGGGCAGAAGGGAAGGGAGAGGGGCCACATGTGTCCTTGGCCGCCACACTCCAAGAAGGGCACCCTGTCACTGAAGGAGAGGGTTCTACCTGAAAGTATGGGTGACCTGTCCTTGGCTAACCCCTTGGCCACCCCACAACTTGACACAGCACTGTGCTCACAGGTTAGGGAACCAGATTCCAGACCCGAGCGCCTGTCCCACCCCCGAGACTCTGCGTGGTCGGCCCTCACACTGGCTGCTGCTGGGCCACTGCATCAGGTGTCTCTGTGCCCTGCCTGCTCCCAGTCTCACTCAGAAGCCTTCCTTGAGCTCACTGGTGACTGAGTCCTGAACTTGTCTTTCTACACACGTGCTCTCGTTCAATCACTGTGATTATTTAATGAGTCACTCTCTCCCCCACCAGACTGTGAACTCCACAATGCCAGGAGCCACTTCCAGCTCCAACCCCAAGTCCTAGCAGGCAGCAGGAGCCCAGTAAACACCTGCTGAATGAATGAAGGTAGGAATGCAAGAGGCTGGCTAGATTTGCAACCTCTGTCTCCTCCAGCAGGTGTGTGGTGGCCAGCACTCACCGATGAGCACTTCTTGCTGGGCGAACCCACTGCAGGGCACCCAGGCCTGTCCTTTTGTCTGGAACACCTGACCCTGTCCGCCCCTGTACATCAGAGACCTGAAGCCCAGCTGCAGGACCAACCCGGGGAACAGCCTTCTTGGAACAGCTGTGCCCACTGCAAGCTCCCTCACCACTCAGGCAGGGGGGCCAGCAGCCCTCCTCACTGGGCCCCCTACTCCAGTTCCCCACAGAAGAGTAGTGTGGACTCAATACTTGCTAAACATCAGGCATTTTTCTAACTGCTTTTGCAAAACATTAACTTTCCTAGGCTTAACAACAGCACTAGCAGGTAGGGTCAATAATTGCTCCCATTTTACAGGTGGTTAAACTGAAGCACGGAGCTCCTGTGGCTAGTGATCAATGGAAACCCCACACAGAAGCCCCCCCACAAAACACCTGATCAGTGCCCAAACTCACACCACAAGGAAGATTTACTCCCCAGTGAATGATTATCCAGAGGAGAAGATAGAAAGGCCTCACTCAGGTCTTCCTGGTGGTTCAGACAGTAAAGCGTCTGCCTGCAATGCAGGAGACCTGGGTTCGATCCCTGGGTTGGGAAGATCCCCTGGAAAAGGAAATGGCAACCCACTCCAGTACTCTTGCCTGGAAAATCCCATGGACGGAGGAGCCTGGTAGGCTACAGTCCATGGGGTCGCAGAGAGTCGGACACGACTGAGCGACTTCACTCACTCAGGTCCTGCTGGAGTCAGGAGGCCCCAGTGACTCTGAACAAGTGGTTGGAAAATAGCCACAGGGTGAAAGTTTTAAAACAACAATAAATGATGCTATTTCACGGTATGTGCCCCACCCTGCGCTAAATACTTCACATTTTTTCACTTATTTATTCCCCATCGGCAGGGCAGTCCCAGCATTATGCCCATTTGATGGATGAGAAAGCCAAGGTGGGGGAGGAATGGTCTGTCCAGGGTCACAAGTTCCACGAGGGGCACAGCTGGGATTAAAAGCCTGTTCAGTTGCTGGAAGCACCAGCTATAGTGAGCAATACTGCTCACTGTCCACCTCCCTCAGCATCTGCCCCCAGCAGCCAAAGGCCACGGCACTCCCGGCCCACTTCATGGGGCATGTCAGAGCAGCAACTCCAGAAATGCTAAAGTTGCATGAAGTGATGAATTCCCAGGGCTGAGGCAGGCTGCTGTTTGACAATCATACTCTTGCAGTCATGCCCCTGACCTTCATGGACTGACAAAAAAAAAGGCTGAGGGGCTCCGAGAAACCCACCACCACAAATGAGCTCTCCACGGTGGCGCTACCAACCAAATCTGGGTTCACATCCTCATTCTGCCACTTCCTCGCTGTGTGCTGCAGAAAAGAGGGCTCCCCTCCCCATCTGTAAAATGGGTTCATGTTTTTCTCTGGACATTCACTAGGAGCATTCTAAGAACTGATATCTGTGGGGTCCTGGGCACAGGGCTCAAGAAACAAGTGGCTGCTGCTATTGTTGTTCGAAAAGAGGGGTGCCAACTCCAGAGAATGTCAGACCCATCTGCTGTAAGAAGCCACAGGCAGTCTCGCAGGCTTCACTGGCTGGGCCAGGAAGGGGGCAGGCCGGGGGGCGGGAGGGCCACAGGAGCATGAACACAAGGCCATCTCAGGGGAGAAGCATTGCTCGGGCAGCTCCGGGCAGGAGCTCCGGGCAGGAAGCCACAGCCAGAGCACTCCACTGTGGCCTGTGTTGGGGAGGGGGCCACGCCCGGGAGGTTTCCTGGTCAGGGCATGCAGCCAGGCCGCAGGAAGGTGGTCCCCTCTTTGGGCCCCAGCCCAGGAGGTAGCATTTATTGAGTGTTTACTATGTGCCAGACACAGAGGAAGAGCAACCGATCAGATCACGCCAACCCCGGGAACAGGGCCTAGAAGCTCTTGGCAGGAAAAGCAACTACTAATCACCTGTGGGTTCCCAGGAGCCCCCCAGGCTTCAGCTAGCGGGTATGAGAAGAGGGGTCTTTGGTGCATTTTCTTCCCCTCCAATCCCCTCCCCACCCATGGGAGCATCTGGGAGTCCGGGCAACCAAAGGGATGAATAGCCGTCACAGA